CTTTTTTGGAGTTGTAGGTCCCATAGACTCTCAAACATTATAGGCTATTTTCACCATTCTTGATTACTCTTCAGAACGCTTTTGGAAGTTCTATTTTACTTTATTATTTTTCAGAACTCTCATTGTGTTATTCATTGCTCATGGTACAATTACACAGGGTATTTTCATATCCTAAATAATCCATGCTGAGCCCATTTTCCACATACTCCTTGACTTTGCCCTTTCTCCTGCCTAGGCCTCGCATCCATCCCTCTTTCCTCTGAGCCCATTTTCCACATACTCCTTGACTTTGCCCTTTCTCCTGCCTAGGCCTCGCATCCATCCCTCTTTCCTCTAAAAGATTTTACTTCTATTTTCATGCCATGTATGCAACCTGAGCTTATGCATCTGTCTCAAATCTAAGGATCACAAATGAGAAACCTACGCTATATTTCATGGTGAGATTGGTTTAATCCACTTAATATAATTATCTCCACTAGCATACATTTTCCTGCAAATGCCAAAACTTTGTCTTCTTTATGGCTGAAAAATTCCATTGTACACAGATGCACATTTTCTTTATCCATTCCTCTGTTGTTGGAAAACTAGGTTGGTTCTATAGCTTAGCTATTGTGGACAATGCTCCAGAATTTTATGGTAAGACCCTATTGCTGCTGACCACACATTTGAGTCATAGGACATGAAAAAAATCAAGTTGGTATTGACCTAGAAGCTTCGTCCCTACTGTTTAGCTTTCACAGTGCTGGAAGGTGCTGTGCACACTACTGGACAAGGAAAGTCATCATTAGTCTTATCCTGCTGCGACCCCTGGGAGCTGCAATTGTGACTGTCCTCACCAGACATGCTCACTGGTGCAATAGTGACTGCAGCATCATGGCAGCAACCAATGACTTTCTGATTAGATTTAAGTTTTGTTCCTAAGATGAAGCACATACTTGATACCATTATTGGGCTAAGAACCTATAGTTAGACAGATCATAGGCCAAGGAGAGAATCTATTACTATTGCTTAGCTAAATGGACATTGTATACTGTGTCTTAAAGACCTATTGTTGAATCCATAGATCAGTGTGTCTCACAACCCTCCTTTGAGAAGTTTCAACTTGCTGTAGATGATGATTAACATAGGACTCCTAACTGGTCAAGGTGCAGAGAATAAGCAGAATGCTCACTCCTAAGTGGAACATTTGTACAACAACTCTGTTTCCCATAAAGCTCACGGAACATTATGGAAGCGGAAGTAGAAAGTTTAAAAGCCAAATGTGATGGATGACTGGAAGGGAACTGTGTCTTTTGGATACAGCAGGGCACCTGAATATATGGACTCACAGTGGTTGTTAGAGAATGCACAAGCCCAAGTCATACCAAATCCTATCATGGGAAAAGCCCTGCTTGTAGATTGTTTCCAGATTCTGGTTATTACAAATAATGCTGCTATGAACATAGTTGAACAAGTGTTCTTGTAGTATGATTGAGCATCCTTTGTGTATATGTCTAAGATTCTTCCAGGAATTGTTATGTTTACTTTATTTTGAGTGGTGTAAGTTGGAATTTCAAAAATGTTTAACTATTTATTTCCCTATGACTAAATATTTTGAGCACACTTTTAGGTATCTATTGACCATCTGTATTTCTTCCTTTGAGAACTCTCCATTCAGTTAATGAATCCTGTTGGGAAAGATTCCCCTCCCCCATCCTGAGAGCCTTCTCTTCACCCTGCTAATTGTTTCTTTTGCTGTTTATGCCACATTTTTGAGGATGTCGTTAGCAATCCTTTATCAGGATAATGTAAAGTGGTTGGAACTGGTTCACGCAATTGGTCAAAAGTGTTTGCATAATTCTCAGTGTAAGGATTAAACTTTTATGCTCTTGACACATTTTCCTGTAGTGATGGAGGTGGGTCTTGTATTTATCTATTACTTTCATTGGTTAATTAATAAAGAAAACTGCTTGGCCCTGATAGGACAGATAATTAGGTATGTGGAGTAGACATAACAGAATGCTGGGAGAAAGAAGCCAAGTCAGGCAGTCGCCATGATTCTCCCACTCCAGACAGATGCAGTTTAAGATCTTTCCTGGTAAGCCACCTTGTGATGTTACACAGATTATTAGAAATGGGTTAGATCAATATGTAAGAGCTAGCCAATAAGAGGCTGGAACTAATGGGCCAGTCAGTGTTTAAAAAAATACAGTTTCCGTGTAATTATTTCAGGTATAAAGCTAGCCGGGCGGGCGGCCGGGTGTTAGGAAAGTAGCCCTCCACTCCTATTTCAACACTGTAGGAACTACAGTGAGCATAGTCTGTCTTTCTACCTAATTTATAGGTTTCTGCAAGTGCCTGCCTTGACTGATATTTTAACGGTAACTTTTTAATGACCACTACTTAATTCATTCATTCTTTCTTTCTTTCTCTCTCTCTCTCTCTCTCTCTCTCCTCCTTCCTTCATTTTCTTTCTTTTCCTTCCTTCCTTCCTTCCTTCCTTCCTTCCTTTTGTGTGTGTGTGTGTGTGTGTGTGTGTGTATGTGTATAGATGGTTAAGGAAGTGAGGACAACATGCAGGATGTGGATCTCTCTTACCATGTGAGGTCCAGGGATTCAACTCGGGTGATCAGGTTTCATAGCAAACACCTATACCTGCCTAGGCGTATCACTACCCCTAATGTCCAAATTAAATAGAGGAGTATATTGCAGGCTCAACTATTCTGTGGTCTTGGTTCCAGAATGAAGAATATATGGCCGGATCCAAGGAGAATTAGTCAGCCTTAGGCAGACCCTAAGCCCAAATAAAATGTAATTGATAAATAAGTGTTTGATATTGTAAGTCAGTTAGGTACTGGAATTGTTCATGACACAGCATAGTTCATGCACAATGTGATTTTTCCCCCTAGATAAATAGAGGTAACTTTAGAAATCAATTTTGTAGTTCCGTGCTCCCCTATCCACCCTTCCTTTATCCCAATTCTCCTGTTTCCCCATGTCCCCCCTCCTTCCCTTCTACCTTTTCTCTACCCATCTCCCCTTACCCCCATCCCACTCCACCCCCAAGATCCCAATTTTCTCCCCGGCAATTTGGTCTACTTCCCTTAGCCAAGAGGATAACTATCTGTTTTTCCTTGGGTTCACCTTCTTACTTAGCTTCTTTAGGTTCACCTATTGTAGACTCCGTGGCCCTTATTTATGGCTAGAAACCAATTATGAGCGAGTACATCCCATGTTCAGCAGAAGGAGGGAGAACATGAGCAAAGAAGTCGGGACCACGAGGCGTGCACCCACCCACTGAGACAGTGGAGCTGACCTACTGGGAACTCACCAAGGCCAGCTGGACTGTGACCGAAAAAGCATGGGATAAAACCGGACTCTCTGAACATGGCGAACAATGAGGGCTGATGAGACGCCAAGGATAATGGCACGGGGTTTTGATCCTACTTAATGTGCTGGCTTTGTGGGAGCCTAGCCAGTTTGGATGTTCACCTTCCTAGATATGGACGGAGGGGAGAGGACCTAGGACTTACCACAGGGCAGGGAACCCGGACTGCTCTGTGGACTGGAGAGGGAGGGGGAGAGGAGTGGGGGGAGGGGAGAGAGGAGTGGGGGGAGGGGGGAGAAGGGTGGGAGGAGGGGGAGAAGGGTGGGAGGAGGGGGAGGGAAATGGGAGGCTGGGAGGAGGTGGAAACTTGTTTTTTGTTTGTTTTTTTTTCTTTTCTCAATAAAAAAAGGAAAAAAAAGAATATGGAAAAAAAAAGAAATCAATTTTGTATAAAGAGTTTAATGAATGATAAAGTGTTTTATCTCTTAAAAATCGTATTTTAAAAATACTATTGTCTCTTAATAAATAATTCAATTTTGAGTAAAGTATTATGCAGGGCAAGGCAATGTAGATATCTATAGTAGGGTGGGGTGTGGGAAAGCAATGACCTGTTTGTGCAGAGGGCTGACTTGAGCAGAAATGGAATCTGAGCAGTGGGAGGAAATGTGTCTTGATTGGGAAGCAGCAGCCTGAGGCAAGACCTCAGTGTATGAGAGGTGAGGAGGGCAGCCATGTCCGAGAGTGGGCAGGTGCAGAGAGTCTGAGCTCAAGCAGGATGAGAAGTCATTCAGGCTTGAGGCCACTTCTTGCAGGAAGTCAGAATCCTAAATGAGTGAGCAGAGGGTCCTCAGGGACAGCCTGGTGTGACACCTCAGCACTTGGAAGAGGCAAGGGTGAACCCAGTGCACTGTGTTAGCTCCAGGTCAGGTTGGGATCTGGGTACTCAGCAGATCGAGGGGACTTTCCTCTCAGAGGGTAAACCAGGAACCAGGCAAGGTACAGATGGTGGGAGTGGAAAACACAAGTTGGGAACTCAGTGACATTTAAGAAAAAGAGAAAATCTTTGCTGGGTGTGGAGAAACTGGGTTGCCAGAGCCCAGGCATGTTAAAGGGAGTATCCATGCATAAAATAGAAGCAAGGGTTCCAGAAACTGATCAGGGTGAAGACACTGTCCCCATGCAGTGGCACAGTCTGGGTGCCTTTATGTTGAAGATTGTTTCTGTTCTTAGGGCCGACTTAAGTGTGGTGTTGAAGCCTCAGGGAGGCCAAGTGGCAGCTCTCCAGGAATCAGGAGTAGGAATCTCAGCACAAGATGAGAAATGGATGCTTTATTGTGGAGGTTAGCTCAGCCTGAGTGTCATAACTTCAACTCTGTGACAAATTTGACTTCTCCAATGGCCTGATTCCTCTTTTCCATTCCTTCCTGTTTTCTCTCCCCTCCCTGCCCAGCGTTGAGTTCTTGGTATCATGACGATTGTACAATGGTCCTGGGTGCATTCCCCGCCTGTGATTCTCCCTTTGCCAGTCAGGGGACTGGACCTCATTCTGCACGCTCAGGGCAGCTTCTGTTACTGCCTCTCATCCCTAGCTGGAATCGGGATAATTTGCTGCTACCTTTGATTCTTGTTCAGAACCTATTTTACAGAAGGGGGACACTCATCTTCTGAGGGCAGGGGAAGATTTCTTCTCAACATGTTTTCAGAAAATATTTATATTAACTCGAACTTCAAAAATAAAACTGATTCCTCAGACATCAATCCAGACTCTCCTCCAGGTAAGAAGTCCTTTTCTGCTGCTCTTAGTTAGTGATGAAGTCAAGGAGAAAGACAGATGTTTATGTGCCTCTTGGCCACTGGAGTCACAACCAACTGTGCTGCCTGTAGACAGATGTGAAAGGTTGTGGGATTGTACAGTGGAAAAGAGAAAGTGTTGTCCTTTACCATCTGGAGAAAATCACATCACCCATGTTACTGTATCTTTTCTCACATAAGTAACCTTAAATGCGTGTAACATATTTTTTCAACAGTTAAACCATGGTCTTCTGATTTTCTCTCTCTATTTGGTAACATATCACAGTCTGTTGGCATCTAAGTGTTGAACAGCTTCTTTTATTCATCTCCCTCCAAACTATATAATGAAATACTATGCAATCATTATAAAACTTATAAAGAAGACACGATTATATTAAAAATGTTTATTCAGATGTGCTAGCTGAAGCCTGTAATCTCAAACTCAGGAGCCTGAGATGGGGGTTTCTGTGAGATTGAGATCACCTTGGACTACATACTGACACCCTGTTTCAAAAATAAAACAAAATATAGGGGAAATAATGACATAATGTCAAAGAAAATATAGTCACAAATCAGATTTTCAATTGTGGAAAACATATTTATAACTAAAAGTTTTTAACTTCTTAGAAAGGTACATACCAAAATAGCGACAACAATTATTTTCAATGTCAGGAATTAGTATACACACACACACACACACACACACAACATATATAGCAATGTTTCTATGTTTCACATGATTTTTTCCTATTTGCATTTTCTGATTATTTTAAACATCATGTTATTAGTATTTATCATGGACAAAAAGAGAAGAAAAGGAGAAAGAAGAGGAAATGGGAACAGAACTCAAGACATGGATTTTGTTTGTCTTTCAGCTCCTCCAAAGAAGACCACGACTCGTGAAAGTTGCCATAGATTCTCCAGGGTGCTCTTCATCTTATTCACAATATATTTCCTGCTATTGACAATCTTATTCTCCATTTCTCTGATCAGTAAGTACGACCGTGGGACAAGTAGCAATGAGAAGGAAGGGGACCCATTAGATAGAAGGCTATGCAGAAACCTGAGACAGGAACTCTCTAAGAAGATTGATGACATTGGAAAATTTTCTCTGTTTCATAATGACTCTTCTGAAGAAGTCATTTGTTCTCACTAGAGAATCCAGTGTGTGTTAGATGGTGTCACAGAGTGGAATCCTGGGGCATCTGTGGTAGATCCCAATTCTGAGGATAAATCTGTATTTCCTCAGCAGCATTTAGAAGCCAGCCCCATCAGATGCATAGATACTTAAATTTTGGAATGGGCAGGGTGATGAGAAGAGATGACAGAGCTACTCCAGGGACAGAGCTCCAGGGGATTTCTTTCTAATAATTTGTTTTTTGTTCCAAACTATGTGAGTCCTGGAACTATTTTAGAAAATAGTGGATTTCTCTATAAATTGGCTTTCCAATTCATCAAAAATTAAAAATCATAAACTATATTTTTATGCAGGTGTTATATTAATTCATTCAATAATTAGTATCGTCCATTTCCTATATACTGGGCAGCATGTCAGAGTACAGAAAGAGCTGCAGCCCCAGTCTCAGGAAACTTAGAGAATAGTCACGTGAAGCAGCGCTTAAAAGCTTGCATGGGAAATGCTGTGCAGGTGAGAAGTGAGCCCAGGAGGCTAAGAAAAGCTTGGAGCAGATGATGCCTAGACCTGTGTGCCAGCAGTGCCAGAGACACGGGGGAGCATGGGAAATACGGGCAAATATAGGTTGCATTACTGTACCGTGTAGTGCTGCATGGAGAACTGAGCACGAGACTGTAGGGGGCAGACAAAATTGGACTCTGATGACAAAATAGTGCAGGCCATATTACACGGGTATTTCCTGTAAATGTTATTCAGTTTAGTGGCTGTGGCTGAACCCTTAGCCAGCTTAAAAATTAGTAGGTTAGTTTAGCTATTTATTTAATTTATTTAATTCTTTCTTGGTGGCATCAAGATTCCCATGGTCCGAGGTGAACTTACTCATCCTCAGGGAGTCACACATCAGTAACAGACACCCCAGCTTCCCGTGGCAACTTCAGAGTTCCAGGATGGATGGCAGCCATAAGCCAAGTTCAACATGGAGTGAACATCAATTTGCCTTTGTGTGTTTTAGTGGACAAAGAAAGTCTTAAAGGTAGCTCATATCAGGTGGTGTAGAAACAGACCCAGTTTCTTTTTCAAAAAAATTATTTATTTTTATTTTATGTGCATTTGTGTTCTTGCCATGGCTGTCAGGCCTCTGGAACTGGGATTACAGACAGCTGTGAGCTGCCATGTAGGTGCTGGAAATTGAACCTAGGTCCTCCGGAAGAACAGTCAATGCTCTTAACCGCTAAACCATCTCTCCAGCCCCAGACCCAGTTTTGCGAGTAGGGAACTGAAGAGACATAGTCCAAGTGGATATTTACAACAGGAAGATGGAAAAGTGTGTGCAGATTTGCAATGTGCCACAGTCATGAAGACCCACTGAAGAATCTGAAGCAGGACATGATAAAGTTAAAACTGACTTAGAGAAGCATGTTCTTACCGAGGTGTGAAAATGAAGGGAAGGAGAAATTAGGAAGCTAATTCAGAATCCATTCGGGCAGCACTGGGGGCTTGGTCCAAGGGTCCTGCTGATGATGCACAGGAGAGGAGATAACGTCGAGCACAGGAGGTGAAGTTCTGGTCAATATTGATAGCTGAGAATTAGGGAACGCAGAGGAGTGAGGTGTGACTCTAGTGTTCTCATTTCATAAAATCAGCAGTCAACCACTCCAACAACCCATGAAATTGCAATATCACTAAGGAAGAGAGAGAGAATTACAGATGGAACTGGGTGAATTTTCTATTGGAGGAGAGGCGGTTGCAGAAGAAAGCAGGTAGGGAAGAGCACAGGACACAGCAGCTTGCAGGGCCAGGCAAACTGGAGGGAGTCATCATCTCCCAACAGTTAAGAAGGAAGAGAAGCAGGCTAGGTCATGTGAGAAGTCCCACAGGAAGATGACTGATAAGTGTACATGAGGAACCATTAATATCTATTTCAAACACAGTTTTATAAATTAGCAGAAGTGAAAGCCAGAATCTAGAACCTCAAGGAACAAGTGGGAGATGAGGAAGAGAAAAAAGAAAATTCAACTTGTAGAAAAAAGGTGAATTAGTTTTAAGTTAGGTACACCATGAAAGGGTGGGGACACTGAGAAGTCAGAACTCACTGGGGTCGAGGGAAAGGAAAGGAAAGAACAAAAGCAATGTCCTTCTGATCAGTGTTGGGCTCTTTATAACTTCCATGCTTGGGAAACCTGGAACTGCTCGGAATTAGCTCACTTCTCCCTCCCCTTTCCTGGGCTATGCATATACTTAATAGGATTTATCACCTGAGATGTAGTCTGTAGTGTGCCCTCCATTAAATGTTGGAGAGACCCCAGGGTCATGGATCTGTCCCTTCCAGCTCTTCCTGGAGATATTTGAGGTCATAAATCAGTAGGAGCAGGGTTACACTGACTGGAGTGGGGGAAAATTGTTCTTATTTGTGGTAAGGTCTCATGTAGGCCAGGCCAGCCATGAACTAACTAACTAACCATGTAACCCAACCAATTAACTAAACAAACTAGCTAGTTAGCTAGGTAAACCAACCAATCAACTAAACCAACTTGTACAGTTAAGGATGACCTCAAACTTCTGATCTTCCTCATCCTAATTCCCAAGTGCAAGGGCCACAGCCACCACACTCCATGGTGATGGGAATCTTTCCCAGGCAGCCTCTAACTACTCAGGTAGTTGGACATTTATAGGTTTCGTTTCTACAAAGAATGAATGAAGGTAAAGGCAGAGAGTCGAGTCATAGCACTAGCAGAAAAATGAATGGTTTTTTATTCTGTTTTACAGCTTTGTTTAAAAAATATTCTCAGCTTCTTGAAGAAAAAGCAATCATAAAAGAACTGAATTATACCAGATTGGAGTGTACAAAATGGCATTCACTCTTGAAAGGTAAAAGTTTACGTGCCTAGCATCAGCATTTTCAACAAGAGTCTTGGCTAGATCCGACAGCAACGGGCACCATGGGGACACGATTTCATACTGCACACTCAGTGCCAGTTGCCAGGGGAGTCCTTTATAGAGGTCTCCAATCGGGCATATTTGAAGAAGAGTTTCAGGGAGGGAGAGCCAATGCCAGGCTGAGTTGAATTTCATCAGGCACAGAAAGGATGAAGCAGATCTGATGGTGTGAATGTGAGCATCTCCAGGGAGTCATCTCAAGTGTGTGTTTAAAATTTCATTTTTAATGTGAAATATGTTTATGTGTAAGTGTCTGGATGTGGGTTTGTGTATGTGAGTGCAGTGCCTGCAGAGGGCAGAAGAGGGTGTTGGATCCCTGAAGCTGGAGTTATATGTGATGATGAGCCGCAGGTCCTGCGTGCAGGGAAGTGAACTCCAGTCCTCTGCAAGAACAGCACACTATCTTAACTGCTGAGTCATTTCTGTAGTCCCTCAATTGTTTTTATCTCTCTCTCTCTCTCTCTCCCTTCCTCCCTCCCCCTCTCTCTCTCCCCCTCTCTCTCTCTGTGATAATCTTGTTGCTACCTCAGTTACAGTGTCTCCAAAGTGTAGTTTACCTACGGTTTGAATACAGAATTTGTTTTTCTAGTATACTAAGCTGAACAGTGGACTTATAAAGGGCACTGTCAGAGTAGACTGGGGTTCCTTGGCATCAGAGCGAGAGGGGCTCCTTGCTGCATCTGGAGAGGTAGGGAGTCCCATTTTCCATGTGGTCTCCACATACAGCAGATGTTAAATGACTTTATGACATTGTACTTACATCTCCTTCCTCCCCATAGACAAAGTCTGGAGCTGTTGCCCAAAGGACTGGGAGCCATTTAGTTCCCACTGCTACTTCATTTCCACTGACTCAGCATCTTGGAGCAAGAGTGAGGAGAAGTGCTCCAGCATGGGTGCTCATCTGATGGTGGTCCGCAGCTGGGAAGAACAGGTGCATCCTGGGAGCGAGTGGGGTCTGGGCCCAGCCTGCTGTCTGCCCTTTTTACTAAGAGGGAGTTTTTTCGACATGGGTGTTGGTGCTGTGGCAGAAGGCTTGCCATCAGGTAGCCGGAAAGGTTGCTTCAGCCTTGGCATTCTACACTTTGCTCCCGCTGCAGTGAACTAAACAATCCACAGGAACCATGGCAACAGAAATGCAGTGCCTGAGGGTGGAGGGAAGGATGGAATGTTTCTGTTTGAAAGACCAGTTTGTGATTTCAGCACTCTAAGGCCTCCTGTAGTACCAGCTGCCTAACAGAGGAGGGCGCAGAGCTGACTAGGGAAAGGGGATCCAATCAGGAGAGTCAGAGCCAACCATCAGAAATGAAATACCTGCAGTTATGAATGGGGAATGATTTAATCTGTAAAATTCTTTCATGCACAATTTTCAAGAACAGTGTTGGGGAAGAAAAGAGCAGGGTGATTCTGAGATGAGAATTCATGATCATGGAGAGGGATTATTTCCAATGTCTATAAAATCAGGCCTATGGGTGATGACTTTGTATTCTGGTCGGGGAAGATGGCACTCATGGAGGTGGGGGACTCTTTTAGTGTTCGATCCTCTTCGTCTCTTCATCTCTGTATGACCAGTGTACTTCCAAAATGTACAATTATTATGTATTAATCTGAAATTTGAAAACTACTTAAGGGCCTAGAAAGATGAACTAGGATTTGATTATTATGTATTTGCACAAGTGTATCATATTGAATCTATAATTTTGCTGATGTAGGTGTTGCTTTCTATGTGTTGCTTTCATTGGTTAATTAATAAAGAAACTGCCTTGGCCTTTGATAGGCCAGCCCTTAGGTGGGTGGAGTAGACAGAGCAGAATGCTGGGAAGAAGGGAAGTGAGGCGGTCGCCATATTTCTCCGACCTGAGACAGATGTAGGCTAGAATCCTTCCCGATAATCTGCTGCTACACAGATTATTAGAAATGGGTTAAGCAAGATGTGAGAGTTAGCCAATAAGAGGCTACAGATAACGGGCCAGGAAGTGTTTAAAAGAATACAGCTTCCGTGTAATTATTTCGGGTGAAAGCTAGCAGGGAACTGAGTGGTGGGAAGCAGCCCTCAGCTCTATCTACATTTTGCATATTTAAAATAATTTTTCAAAGATATTATAAAAATTCTATAACAGAAAAAAAGCCCTCAATCCAGGCTGAATGCTATGTCTTTCTTTCCTCTTAGGATTTCATCACTAAGATCCTGAACCGTAAAACTGCTTATTTTATCGGGCTTTCAGATCCAGGTCATCGTCAGTGGCAGTGGGTTGATCAGACGCCATACAATAAAAGTGCCACGTGAGTCTAGAGTTACCCAGAGGAGTCCTGGGTCCTGAGCTATGAGAAGACTTTAGGGTGTTCCAGCTGTTGATTATAAAACCAAAACAGCTCAGTCCTGGTGTGGGTGCTGGGGATGGAGTTACTTTTATCCCTGTTTACTCATCTCAGGAGTCCTGTGAGTCGTGTGTTGCTGACACTCCCAGGAGAGATGAGGAATTGAGTGAGAAGAGTGTAGGATGATAGGTACCCAGGGTGCCCAACCAGGTGCTTACAGATAGGGGGGGTTTATTGTGCTTTCAGTCACTCATCTATACTTGAAAAAGTCGGATCTATTTTTATTTTCATTTGTGTGTATATGTGTCTCTCTGTGAGTGTGTACCATTTGTATGTGAGTGCCCATGGAGCCCATAAGAGCGTGTTGGATCCGCTGCAGTTGAGGCACAAGTGATGACCACACCAATATAGGTTAAGGAAACATAACTCTCATGTTTCCTGGAAAAGCAGCCAGCATTGTTAATGTCTGAGCATCTCTCCAGCTTTCATTTATATCCCTATAATAAAAATTAATGTCAAGACAATAATGATTATTTCTCATAAATCTAAAGCCCCCCAATCTCATATTGTTGTGTTTCATATTTATGTAATTATGTAAAAACTCCAGTATCTTACTATGTTCCCATATTCTGTCAGATTTCTGTAGTGAGAATTAGGTAGTACGTCATTGTCATTCTCAGTTCTCAGAGAAGAAAAGTAGGAATCCAGGAAATTAAGTTACTTGCCCTAAATGACAGAAATAAGTAGATTATCTAGATATTTTAACTAGCTCTCCAGTCTCTAAAATAAAACTGATGTAAAATGAAAGAAAGCTTTATTAAAATATGAGAAAATGGAGAGACCTTCTCAATATATAAATAAGCACATGGAGTGACAGTCCCCAGGTACCAAGACCTAGGGATGAAGTAGCCTCTGGGATGTGTGCTGGGAGAACAGTTAAGTAACAAGCTGAGAGAATATTAAATGCGGTGGGCCCTGTTTTCCAGGGAAAGGTCAGATATGTGGGATTTGCCCACACCAGAATCTGATTTCCACAGATTCCAACATCATCCCCAGGCTTGCTTACTCTTGCTTTCTCTTTCCCAGCATTACTGTGGAAACACCTGATGCTCTTTCCTCCCTTGCAGGTTCTGGCAACCAGGTGAGCCCAACAATGAACAGGAACAATGTGTTGTCTTAAGTCATCCTTATACACGTTCTAGCTGGGGCTGGAATGACATCTCTTGCAGTGATAAGCAGAAGTCAGTTTGTCAGATGAAGAAAATATACTTGTGAGAAAGCAGTCTTCATGGACATGGGGCCGCATTTTTATCCAGCATTACACAGGCACCTGGAAAGATCTTCTTGTGGAATATATGTCCATAGAATTTTAGGTAGGCAGCCAACAGTTATACATATGATAATTCTGGTCCACATATATACTTATTCATTCATCCTTTACTCTATTATATAAGGAGAATTTTACATATACCAGAGACCATACAGGAATATGTGTGGAATCGCATCACTTTCTCTGTCTATTTTTAGATTCCTAATGTCTTATTTGATGATAGAATTGTATGGAGTGGTCTCTCTCTCTCTCTCTCTCTCTCTCTCTCTCTCTCTTCACCTGTCTTTGGATTTATTGATGTATAATTGATAAATAAATCATGTATATTTACATTACACTGTCTTGAGTTGATATGGAAATGCATTGGGCAATGACTACCACAATCAGGTCAACAACACCCTCTGTTACCTAACACAGTTGCCTGTTTTGTTTTTGTGTGTGTGTGTGTTTGTGTATGGTGTTAGAATACTTAAGATCTTCTTAAGCAAGTTCAGACAGACAGGGTGACATTGTACCTATTGTCACTTTGATCCCCAGTGCTTACTCATATTTTCTCTGGCAGTTTGTGTCCTTCCAACAGCATTTTCACGTTTCCCAGTACTAGGACCTTGGACCCAATGGCTAGTGTGTTGGATACTATGGGCGCTGTGAGGCTGATGAGGGCCTCTAATGGATGGTTGATCCTGGATTGGGTAAGATACATTAACATCAAGTTTAAGGAGATGATAGCCAACCTTCTACTGGTACCCTCACTGATTCTTGGTATCTCACCTTGGTGCCTGCCGTACTAGGGACAGCCTCTGCCCTGTGGATTTACATTGAGGAGACCCTCATTTCCCACGGAAGCCTGTATGTTGATTAATACTTTAGAAGCCCTTTCAACTTCTTATTATGAATATTTTGAAACAGAATTTGACTGGATGATATCATCAATACTCATATAACTACCATCTATTTTTTTAAATTTTTATTGCTTTATAAATAATACCATTCAAAATTTCCACTTCTTCCCCTCCTCTCATTTCCTTCCCACTCCCCCACTCACCCTCCTTCCTCCCCCTCTAGTTGTAAGAGAGGGCAGGGTACCATGCCCTATGGGAAGTCCGAGGCCCTCTCCCCTCCATCCAGGTCTAGGAAGGTGAGCATCCAAACAGACTAGGATCCCAAAAAGCCAGTACATGGAGTAGAGACAAATCCCAGTGCAATTACCATTGGTTTCTCAGTCTGCCCCCATTGTCAGCCACATTCAGAGAGTCCAGTTTGATCACATGCTCATTCAGTTCCAGTCCAGCTGGCTTTGGTGAGCTCCCATTAGATCAGGCACACTGTCTCAGACTACCATCTATATTAATGGTTGTTGGTATTTGGATAATTCGATATATATGTGTGTATATATGCATATATATGCACATGTTATTTGATAAAGCATTTGAGGGTTAGTTTGATATATATACTCCAGAAAATATTTCAGTATATGTCATCTGAAATTCTCATTGTACAACAAAACAATACCATTATCACTCTTGGAAAATTTAACAACTCTTTTCTCATATGATGTGTGGTATTTCCTGTGTTTCCTCAGCCATCCCCAAAATGTTTCTTATGGCTGTTCTAGTAAGCCATATCCAAAATCATCTCATTTGCTAAATAAAATTATTCTACAAGTTCAGGCCAGGCCTCTAAAACACTGTCCTCATTTCAGACTCAAGCTTCAGGGTCAGGAGTTCCCAAGGATGGCATTACTTATTGTAATCTGTCTGCAGGGCTCCAAGGTCCTGCAACTCCTGAGGAGTTATAAGTTGCTAGGATGATCCACTGAACTAAAGATTCTGCTCTATTAAGATTATGGTTTTTTTTATACAAAAAGATAGAAAGGAGAACTAATGGGAGGGACATGCAAGGCAAGATCAGGGAGGGTCCCAAATAGGGAATTTCCATTGACCCCGTGTGTGTGTGTCTCCTTCTCAGAATGTTAGTGACAATATACAAAACAGATCAACCAGAGGACACTCATCTGAGCTCTGAAATCAGCGATTTATCAGGGTTCATTATATAGGTGTAAGTGTTTGGTTGATAAATGAAGGAACTCAGCTTTCAGCACCACTTCACTGCTGGGGTGAGCATCTCGTGCCTCAAAGGCTCAACATTTTAATGACATGGTCAGGGTTTCCGAAATGGTGAGCTCCCAACATGAATCATCTTGTTACCATGAACTATGAGAGAACTGAACAGCATAAGGCTTTGTGGCCTACCGTGATAAAACAGATGCCTCAATAGCTCCAGAAATTCCCGAAAATTAGAGCAGTAACCTCCCATGACCTGGGTAAAATCCAGAGAAAGTCTTTCTTCGACAGGTCAGGAGTAAATGATATGAATGAAGATGAAAATGAACAGGAGAATGTGCCCCATCAACTTCCCAGGCTGCTTCACAACAGACTTCATGGTGTGCATGACACACACCCAATGCTAAACCCGCATGACACTAGTTCACTTCAATATCAGAGATAACTGAAGCAGAAGTTTGAAAATTTTGTCTATATGAGTGTTCCGTCCGCATGTATGCCTTTATGCCAGAATTGGGCATCAGATCCCACTATAAATGACTGTGAGCCATGAATTGAACTCAGGACCTTTGGAAGAGCTGTCAATGCTCTTATTCACTGAGCCATCTCTCCAGCAAGTTTTAGTTTTTTGTACTTGTGCTGCAAAAGCACCTCTTTCCTGCCTACGGGGCTAATGTTCCATTTTGAAGCACAATAAAAAGACATCTGAGAAAAGAGTAAAGGAATTAGGTGTAGATGCTATACCAGTCCCCAAGTGCTTACATACTCCTCTGATAATGGACTCATTCAATGCCTTTGACCCACCCCCCTCTATATACAGTATGTTTTCAACCCCAAACGGCTGGTTTGTCCAGGTGACTTTCACTGGCCCATAGGATGAGAATGAACCCGATTCTCTGAATACAGGAGACAGCCACATATTCAACTCACAGCAAGCTATGGTTCTCTATGATCTGGCTAAAAATGATGAATGTGGAAAGAAGTCAAACAGAATTACAGAGACCATGGCCAGACCCTTAGGAGAGAAAAATTTAAATACACAACTTGAATTTGGAATTGTCTGTGACTTATTCTCGGGTATATCAGATACGATAACTATGGAAATATATATATATTTTTTTTCAGAATCTATTTTTTTTAATAATTTTTTTTATTAAGAAAAGAAGAAAAAAACATAAACAAAAAACAAGTTTCCACCTCCTCCCAGCCTCCCATTTCCCTCCCCCTCCTCCCACCCTTCTCCCCCTCCTCCCACCCTTCTACCCCTCCCCCCACTCCTCTCCCCCTCCCTCTCCAGTCCACAGAGCAGTCCAGGTTCCCTGCCCTGTGGTAAGTCCTAGGTCCTCCCCCCTCCGTCCATATCTAGGAAGGTGAACATCCAAACTGGCTAGGCTTCCACAAAGCCAGCACATTAAGTAGGATCAAAACCCCGTGCGATTGTCCTTGGCGTCTCATTAGCCCTCATTGTTCGCCATGTTCAGAGAGTCCGGTTTTATCCCATGCTTTGTCGGTCACAGTCCAGCTGGCCTTGGTGAGCTCCCAGTAGATCAGCTCCACTGTCTCAGTGGGTGGGTGCACGCCTCGTGGTCCCGACTTCTTTGCTCATGTTCTCCCTCCTTCTGCTCCTCATTGGGACCTTGGGAGCTCAGTCCAGTGCTCCAGTGTGGGTCTCTGTCTCTGTCTCCATCCATCACCAGATGAATTGCTCTCGGATAGGGTCATTTCAGGTTCCCAATCCTCAGCTACCCAAGGAACTAACTGGGAACCTCATGTTGGGCACTTGGGAGCCCCTCTAGGGTCAAATCTCTTGCTCACCCTAAAGTGGTTCCCTTAACTAAGAATTGTGGTTCCGTGCTCCCCTATCCACCTTTCCTTTATCCCAATTCTCCTGATTCCCCAAATCCCCCCTCCTTCCCTTCTACCTTTTCTCTCCCCATCTCCCCTTACCCCCATCCCACCCCACCCCCAAGATCCTAATTTTCTCCCCGGCAATTGGGTCTACTTCCCTTAGCCAAGAGGATAACTATATGTTTTTCCTTGGGTTCACCTTCTTACTTAGCTTCTTTAGGTTCACCTATTGTAGACTCCGTGGCCCTAATTTATGGCTAGAAACCAATTATGAGCGAGTACATCCCAAGTTCATCTTTTTGGGTCTGGGACACCTCACTCAGGATAGTGTTTTCTATTTCCATCCATTTGCCTGCAAAATTCGAGAAGTCATTGTTTTTTACCGCAGCGTAGTACTCTAGCGTGTATATATTCCATACTTTCTTCATCCATTCTTCCATTGAAGGGCATCGAGGTTGTTTCCAGGTTCTGGCTATTACAAATAATACTGCTATGAACATAGTTGAACAAATGCTTTTGTCATATGATAGAGCATCTCTTGGGTATATTCCCAGGAGTGGTATTGCTGGGTCCAGGGGTAAGTTGATCCCGAATTTCCTGAGAAACCGAAACACTGACTTCCACAGTGGTTGCACAAGATGGCATTCCCACCAGCAATGGATGAGGGTACCCGTTCCTCCACAGCCTCTCCAGCAAAGGTTATCCTTGGTGTTTTTGACTTTAGCCATTCTGACAGGTGTAAGATGATATCTCAAAGTTGTTTTGATTTGCATTTCCCTGATTGCTAAGGAAGTTGAGCACGACTTTAAGTGTCTTTTGGCCATTTGAACTTCCTCTGCTGAGAATTCTCTGTTCAGTTCAGTGCCCCATTTTTTAATTGGGTTAATTAGCATTTTAAAGTCTAGTTTCTTGAGTTCTTTATATATTTTGGAGATCAGACCTTTGTCTGTTGTGGGGTTGGTGAAGATCTTCTCCCAATCAGTAGGTTGCCTTTGTGTCTTATTGACTATGTCCTTTGCTTTACAGAAGCTTCTCAGTTTAAGTAGGTCCCATTTATTCAATGTTGCCCTTAATGTCTGTGCTTCTGGGGTTATACATAGGAAGCGATCTCCTGTGCCCAGCTCCTGTAGGGTACTTCCCACTTTCTCTTCTATCAGGTTCAGTGTGTTCGGGCTGATATTGAGGTCTTTAATCCATTTGGACTTGAGTTTTGTGCACGGTGATAGATAAGGGTCTATTTTCATTCTTCTACAAGATGACATCCAGTTGTGCCAGCACCATTTGTTGAAGATGCTTTCTTTCTTCCATTTTATACTTTTTGCT